GGATAAGGCATGCCAAGCGTTTCTATCCAAGGTGCATAGCGAGAGATGACATTAGATGTGATGAGGATGAGAACATGCGCCAGATGCTGAAGATCGTATGGATTAGAACAGGACTGTGCATTTTTGTTTCTTTCCCATCTGTGCCTCTTTTTTTGTTGTCAAATTGTGTATCTGACAGTATTTTGACACATTTTGAACCAAAGGACACATAGTTTGGATTATTTGTTGATCACTGGCTGCAATTTCATGTTGATAATATTGTAAAGCTTTAACTTCTGCAATTTTGTCGCTTGCAATTTTTTCTACTGTACATTCTAGAAAGTAAAGATGACTCATTCACTTTTGCATAGTTTGTTGCCAAAAATGCACACATTTGACCTTCAAGCCAAAAATGTAGGGTGGTTTACAGTAAAATGAAACTGAATTAAAAAAAACAATGGATTTCTCATTGTCTACTGTTTGCAGGTAGAGCATGAAAAGTTATGGAGTTTTTGTAATGCTATCAACTGTTTGTATTTAGAAAGTTGTTGTGCTATGATTGATTGATCTGTTCCTCTTGGAAAGAAAACGTGCTAGTGTTTTAACAGAATGGTTTGATTTTGAGTCAGGTTTGCTGTGTTTTGATAGAGTTTGTGTATATAGAGAATATTTTTTGCATTTTGAAATGTAGAGTTGGTGTTCAAAGAACGAAATGTGGTTTTGAGCAGAAAATGTACTATTTGGCTAAAAGTGTGAGGTAGGTGTGTTGCTGTGTTAAGAGTTTCGATAAAGTCTCTTAAGTTTAGGTAAACGCTTGTTAGCAATTGAAGAAAACTGTAACACTGGCTCTGTTTCATTCAGTGTCCCAGTAAGGCCTTTCAGTGAGTGAGCATGCACAGTACCAGAGCTCTGAGACTGGTTCACCTAAATGTAATGCAGCCATCATTAATGTAATAAATACACCTGTGCTTTTCCTGCTTTGGCAAGTCAAAATGTCTGCCATGAAAAGTGTCTATTCCCTCTATCAGTTCAGTACCATATACAGGTTCATTTCCACTGTTCTCCTGCAGACTGTTTAGTGTGTGTGTGTGTGTGTGTGTGTGTGTGTGTGTGTGTGTGTGTGTGTGTCCTCAGTGAAGTGTATCAGTCTCTGCAGTAGCTTCCAGCTGCAGCAGTCAGTTCAGTTTCTGTTCAGTCTGACTGAGGGAGGTTTTTGTACGACGCTTTTTCACTGTGTGAACAACCACTGACTGCTGATTTCATGATAACTCTGACAGTAGTAAACTGCTGCATCTTCAGTCTGGACTCCACTGATGGTCAGAGTGAAGTCAGAGTTTGATCCACTGCCTGTAAAACGACCTGGAGTCCCTGATGCTCGAGTGCTAGCATAGTAAATGAGCAGTTTAGGAGTTTCTCCATCTCTCTGTTGGTACCAGGATAAAAGGTGGTTGTTGCTCCAAACATAAACATTCTGACTGGTCCTACATGTGATGGTGACGGAGCGTCCCAGAGCAGAGCTCACTGCTCCAGACTGAGTCACTGTGACCTGGCCTCTGGACTCTGAGGATACAGAGACAAAAACATAAAGCAGCGTCATGGTTTTGTGGGCTTCATTTCAGAGGGACGGATGTTCATAGAGGAGAGGAGTTTGATTCTCTGGACTTTACCTGTGAAGCAGCAGCAGAGGAGAGTCCAGATGAGGACGGAGATCAAAGTCATGTTTTTGATGAGGAGGATTTCTGTGTCTTCTGTTGTCATGAAGGACAGCTGTCAGTCATCCAGTGTTCAACTCTCAGGACTATAAACTCTCCCAGAGCACTGGAGCATGGTGCTGCTGATGCAAAGTGGCTCTCTATGGAAATGCTCTGACTGACTCCAATAGGGACTTGGATTCCTCTCATGATGCTGTTTATCAATGGATCAATCAATTTATCAGAGTATTGATTAGGAATGTGTCAGTGCTCATTTGTATGAAGCTTTGGTTTCAGTTGATGAATTTCATGTCACTGTAATTGATGTTTGTAACACTTCATTAAGTTTACCAAAAAGTATTCTGTCTTACAAAAAATGTCTTAAAAGTTTAACATTTAGTTAACAATGTTCTTTTTGAATGTAAAAAGCAAGCACACACCATCGTGGTCTTTTCTTTCCTTTTTTGGAAAACAATAAAAACCTGCCATTTTTCATGCTCGGTTATATATTTTTTTGCTTTAAACCTTAAAACTTTTTTATAAAAAGAATTTGCAGATTAAACATGAATACATCAGAGGAACAATGTGCCACTGTAACATTTTATCTTTAGTAGTGAAACCTGTCTGTTGCCATGGCGACAGAGTTCAGAGAGGGAAGTGAAACATTTAAAATAATTTTCAACTAAAATCTCTCCCTCCCTCTCTCTCTCTCTCTCTCTCTCTCTCTCTCTCTCTCTCTCTCTCTCTCTCTCTCTCTGCAGTGGGTCGAGTCGTCCCCACCCTGACGGTGCTGCCCCCCTCCAGTGAGGAGCTGCAGCAAAGGGAAGAATATTATTATTTAAACAGAAGTCTCATTCTATTGTACATCTGCAATTATTTAATTAATATTAAAGCACAATGAGGGATATTTTGTATTTGGCTGTGGTCATTTTATTAAACAATTCTGACATAATGGTATAATAATGCAGGATGGATTAATGTGGGAAAATACACAGGATGTGTGTAAAATGACCTTTGAATAAATATAAGACGGTCTGAACGACAGCAATATAAAGGGATATGACATAGAGGGAATCATTTGCTTTAATTTTATTTTATAAAACATTCATATTTAGTGATTTGCAAATCTTCAACCCCAACAGCAAAATAAATTAAAGATGGCAAAGGGAGAGACAACAAATGGGTTACTGATTACAAAAATGATTAAATTCTTTAAATTTGTTAAAATGAAAAAGACACTTAGTATACTTAATGAAGGGATCAGGATCAGAAAAGTAATTGAGTATAAATTTAGTGTTTCAGCTCAACACTGGACATGTTTATTAGATTTATCAGAAGAAGAATCTCACAAAACCCTGAGAAAATAATTTTAAGTTAAATAAACAACAGCTGTATTATCAATGATATTAACCTGCCTGTTGAAAGAGTTGACATCAAACTCTGACTGTGTTTGAATCACACTCACAAATGAGATCAAGTTTTATTGTCACATACATAAACATACACAATACAACAAACAGTGAAATTCTTCAGCGTATAGCTCCAGAATGAGGAGATACAACTAAAGTAAAGTAGATCAATAAAATAAAGATGAATCCAACAATAAAATATGAATGAATGTTTCTGCATTCTGCACAAAGTAAAATAGAAATATATAATGCATTATAAGCAACTGCTATGTGACCTCTGACCAGCAGGGGTCACCATGCACTCTAGTGCAGTTATGGCATAGTAACATAATACAAGGCCCTCAACCCTTACAGACATGAGCGCATCATTCTCTTTACTCAGAATCACAGTTTTTAAACTGTTTTTAAACGTTACATATTAATTATTGTCATTTCTATTCATGTACATTAGGATTTATTTTGTTTTTTATTGTTTTTATATTGCATTAGAATGATCTTATAATTTACACTGAAAGGATTTGTGTTATTCTGTATTTTAATGCTATTTGTGCAGTTTGGTTTTCATAAACATTTTCTTGTCAATAGTTATTTATTGTTTTCATATTGTGCTTCATTTATTAATTAAAGCCTGAACTGATAATAAAGTAGACATTCATTTTGATTCAGAGATATTAAAATTACTGGGGCCTTGAGGCCATTACCAGAGGAGTGATGGTGGTTTGGTCTTATGATGGGCCTAGTGCCGTGGTTTCCAACCTGGGGGTTGAGACCCCACTAGGTGTCGCCCAAAGCTTCATGTGAGTCCTTGATTTTATGCGATGCACAGTAAGCCTATATGTCAGCATCTTTTTCAATTCTGTGAAGAAAACTTTATGATTGTTTCTGTATAATTGTTATTTTTGAAGTTTAGATTATTATTTAAGATCTAAACTTATTATTAAGAAGGAGGTCATTTAAGTTTTATTCACAGAGGTTTAACTCTCAAGAAAAAAAAAAGGATGTAAGGAATTTTTGACTGTTATAAACATGTACACTGACCAGCCATAACACTGTGAGCACTGACAGGTGGAGTGAATAACACTGATTATCTGGTTATCATGGCTCCTGTTAGTGGGGGGGGATATATTAGGCAGCAAGTGAACATTTTGTCCTCAAGTTGATGTGTTAGAAGCAGGAAAAATGGGCAGTGTGAGGATCTGAAAGACTTTGACAAGGGCCACATTGTGATGACTAGATGACTGGGTCAGAGCATTTCCAAACCTGCAGCTCTTGTGGGGTGTTCCCGGTCTGCAGAGGTCAGTACCTATCTAAAGCGCTCCAAGGAAGGAAAAGCTGTGAACCTGAGACAGGATCATGGCTCATTTGGTGGCAAAAGGGGGACCTACTGTACATAATATTGGGCAGGTGGTCATAATGCTATGGCTGATCTGTCAAAATTCATATAAATTTCTACACAAACAAAAGTTGCTCTGTACTGTTACTGTTATACATTGAATATAGTATGAAATATCCTTATAATAATGTCAGTTTACTCAATGACAGAAAACGGGTCCCTAAAGGAAAAAGGTTGGGAACCGTGGCCTAGTGTAAGATGTCACTTAGTGCACCCAAAGTGCTCAGAACCGGCCCTGTCTGTGAACATTTCATTCACCTTATTTGTATCAGTTTTACAAATCTCAGTAAAATGTCAATGCCAGGAGAATTAAAACATGACTGCTGCATTTTATATCAATTAAACTCCTAAAAAATCTTTTTAATCAATTTAATTGTTGAGTACCTCTTTATAATTCACTGTTATAATAATATATATATATATATATATACTCACTGATATTATTACTTTTTTGAATAGTGTGTGTGTGTGTGTGTGTGTGTGTGTGTGTGTGTGTGTGTGTGTGTGTGTGTGTGTCCTCAGTGAAGTGTATCAGTCTCTGCAGAAGCTTCCAGCTGCAGCAGTCAGTTCAGTTTCTGTTCAGTCTGACTGAGGGAGGTTTTTGTACGACGCTTTTTCACTGTGTGAACAACCACTGACTGTTGATGTAATGAGCACTCTGACAGTAGTAAACTGCTGCATCTTCAGTCTGGACTCCACTGATGGTCAGAGTGAAGTCAGAGTTTGATCCACTGCCTGTAAAACGACCTGGAATCCCTGATGCTCGATTGCTAGTTACATAAATGAGCAGTTTAGGAGTTTCTCCATCTCTCTGTTGGTACCAGTGTAAATAGCTCCCACCAAAAACATTCTGACTGGTCCTACATGTGATGGAGACGGAGCGTCCCAGAGCAGAGCTCACTGCTCCAGACTGAGTCACTGTGACCTGGCCTCTGGACTCTGAGGATACAGAGACAAAAACATAAAGCAGCGTCATGGTTTTGTGGGCTTCATTTCAGAGGGACGGATGTTCATAGAGGAGAGGAGTTTGATTCTCTGGACTTTACCTGTGAAGCAGCAGCAGAGGAGAGTCCAGATGAGGACGGAGATCAAAGTCATGTTTTTGATGAGGAGGATTTCTGTGTCTTCTGTTGTCATGAAGGACAGCTGTCAGTCATCCAGTGTTCAACTCTCAGGACTATAAACTCTCCCAGAGCACTGGAGCATGGTGCTGCTGATGCAAAGTGGCTCTCTATGGAAATGTATGAGAGACCACGTTCTCAGTACTGACCGGACTCACTGGGACTCTGCTTCTGTTTTTACCTTGCTACAGCTTTAAATCTGCACTTTCTATCATTCCACCACTTTAACAGAATTGAACTTCAGATTATGACATCTTTATTGTTCCAATAATGCCGATGCTGTTAATGCTGTAAGCCAATAAAGATATTTTTTTTATTTAGATCAAATGTTTCTTTCATGGATCCCTGTACACTAACAACAGATGTCTAATTCCATATTTTCACATGTGCAGGATTATAACCAATGGCAAAATAAGATTTTGTCAGCATTGTTGATACTTAATACAATCTAAAAAATGTAGCATGAGTGAATAATGTGCATACAGCCTGTTTCATCGGGTTTCCTCAAACTGGACACTTTTTCATGTTTGTGTGAGAAAGACATGAAACAACATTGTTCACACACATTTAAAAAATCCTTTTTCCATCAGAGTCAGTTTTAAAAAACTTCCTGAGCTCAAGGAGACACTCAGACGTGTGGGGGAACGTATTTTAATTTGGGTGGGGCTGACCTGGACACGTGTATGTGCACAACAACTTATGTGGATGTTCATATAATGTTTAGAAAAATCAACTGACATATGTTGGAAACTCTTTCTAGTTAAATCTAGACAGCTAAATCTTCCTCAAACATGTGATTGATGATATTTAACCTCATCTGCTAAAGACTTGGTCAAACCTGCAAAACTGGAATGAAAAGAAATCTAAAATATACAGGCTGAACATGCATGCTACTGCTCTCCGTCTGCACTCTCTCATTACCTGTCTTAATCTTTCTTTACCTCTTCTCACTCTCTGATTACATGTTTCATTGATTCAATTTTTTATTTTGATTATTTCAACACAATAAAGACCAGTTCATCAAATCAGTTGTTGTCATGTATGTTACTGTAAACTGATGTTGATGCTTAATAGTTCCATTAAATCCAGAAAAACTGAAAAAAGTTGAGATCGAGTTTCAAAAATCTTAGGTAAAGTTTAGGAAAAGAATAAAATGTAGAACAAAAATTTTAATATCTCTCCTCATTCTTCAGAAAAAATAAAACTAATCAGATAATCATTTATCAGTTCTAATTGTGACCCAACATCATCAATGTTAACTAATAATTTTCTTCAAATTCCTTCAAGCATTTGTGACGACATGAACTTCTTCTTTACGCTAATCATGTATTATTTTTTTTGTAACAAGGTTGATCAATAAAGTTAGATCTTCAGGATCATTAGATATAATGTATGTGTCTTATAAACAAAGTGTTCCATTGATAGAAATTTGTGTTATGTTAAAATAGATTCAGGAGTGTTCAGAAAGTAAAATGAATCTGAGTAAATCTACAAAATCTAATAAGAAATCATTTGAATTATAAAATGGGATATTATCAGCATATTATGTAAGATTAGTATCAGTATTTGCAGTTTGTTGGCAAAATATTACATAACTTATGTGTTTTCATATGAACACAAGGTCTTTAAAACATGTAGTGTGTTTACATTTGTAGAAAACTAAACTCTGACTTAAATATGAATAATATGAAATTAAAAGGACATCTAAACTACTTTAAAAAACTTGAAAGTAAATTTTCTATTTCAAAGCAAACGAAAAAAGTGTTAATGTCTTGTTATCTGTAATAACTCATCTACCTTTCAACTAATCTACAATGGATGTATCAAACTTATTTCCTACTCTATTTCAACAAAGTTACCATTAGGACTTACTACGCTATACATCATATTTACTGATGGTCTTCTGTTATATGGACTTCACTGTCTGTTAAATGTCTAAAGTGTCTGTATTTCTGTGCAGCTGTTGATTCAGATCAGTTGCTCTCCAGCTGAGGGAGGTGTTTGTACGACGTTGTATCACTGTGTGAACGGGTAACTGTAACCACTCTGTAGACAATAGTAAACTCCTGCATCCTCAATCTGAACTGTACTGATGGTCAAAGTGAAGTCAGTTCCAGATCCACTCCCACTGAAACGATTTGAAACTCCAGACTGACGAGTTGTGGCATAATGAATCAAAAGTTTGGGAGATTCTCCGGGTTTCTGAAGGTACCAGTGAAGGTAGCTGCCCATACTTGAACTGGCTTTACATCTGATAGAGACAGTCTGTCCTGGAACAACAGACTGAGCTTTAGGAGACTGAGTCAGGATGATTTCTCCTGATGAATCTGGAAAACATGAAAAAGAGGAGAAGGGTTATTGAGACAAATCCAGTTTGGAGAAAGATGATCAACATCCAAACAGAAGAGTATCATTTCTTTAACATGGAGAATAGATGGAAGAAGGTAAATGCTGCTTGTTTCAGTGTTTCTCCATCATAGCAGAACATCATTGTGGTGAACCTGGTTGCATCCTGAAGCAAAGTTTTCAGAAGAGAGTCTCACCCTGAACAAGGAGCCCCAGGGTGGCCAGCAGTAGAGTCAGTGACATCCTCATTGTGCTGCCGGCGTGTCAGTGGCTCCGAAAGGTCTGGACAGCCACTGATCAACACTGGCCTCTTAACGGCTGGGAGCAGAGAGGAAGGACACATATGCAAACACACAGAGTCAGTGAACTGTAGCTGTCCTCAACATATCATGGTGTTTCCCCCTCAGTGCAGCTGTTGCTTCATTGCACACACAGAACTTCAGTGTTTCATGAAACATAGATTCAACTTAAGAACCATAATGAGTGATAATATAAGAATAATACCTTACAATAGTGATGTACATCCATATTTGGGAGTTGCATTGTTGTGTTTGAGAACTTTTCACAGAACATTTTTATCTTTTCCTCAAATACGCTACAGTCAGTTCACCCAAAGTACCTGTTATATAAATTAGTTTCTCGTTGCCCAGTGGTATCTCTCCATGAACATATGATTTAATATTCAGGATCCTGAGATTTCTGCCTCCACCCCAATAAAATGCAGGTGGAAGAAATTTCATTTGCAGAGCTTTCAGCAAAGACAAAGCATTTTAAAACTTGAGCAGCAACATGTTTTTTTTTCTCAAGAACTCAATGGAGGTGAATAGATGATCCAAAGAACACAGTAATACAGGAACAATTTAACTCTGTGAACAGTTTTCATAGAGAGTATTTCTTCAGAGCAGTGTGTGAACATTTCATTCACCTCCTTTGTATGAGGTTGAGAAATCTCAGTGACGTTTCAAAACCTGGACTAATAAATCATACTGCTGCCTTTTACATTAAGGAAACTAATGAACAACCTTGATTTTTCCCCCAATAATTGTCAGATTTTTGTGTCTTTATTATGCTGTTACCTGTGGTGGATTAAGTCGGTCATGGGCCCCGAGTCTAAGCTTTGTGTGGGCCCCTCCATGGCTATCATGGGATGTGTAGCAATAGTTTGGGTGATTTTCTATTATTTCTGTGAGTGAATCAGGCAAGAAAACACATTGACAATCTATCATAAACAATATAAATGATATATTAAATGATCTAATTATGATAAATAATGAAATATACATACCATGTCTGCTAAACAATTGACCTTTTCTGTCCCGCTCCCAATTCCCACTGTCCCCCTGCCCCATGAGCTGTTGTTACATCTGCAATAACCACATTATGAGCTGTTGAGTCTTGTTACTGAAACATATTACCCCACTGTTACCATCTTAATGATCAGTTACAGTGTACAGTATTACTTATTGAGGTCAGTCATGAGCCACACAGAGCCATATCTCACTAACAGTCACAGTCTGGTTCATTGTCTCTTTAATGAGTAAAATGTGATCATATCCTAATGTGGTCTGAACTGATGTTGAGAAACTGTGATGTTAAACTTCATTGATATTAATAGATTTAATTGCGCACTAGGTCTTTATAATAAAACTGTTTGTGTAGGACCAATAATTATTTGTTATTTGTTATTTTTTTTATGATTATTCCAGTGTGTGTGCGTGTGTGTGTGTGTGTGTGTGTGTGTGTGTGTGTGTGTGTGTGTGTGTGTGTGTGTGTGTGTGTGTGTGTGTGTGTCCTCAGTGAAGTGTATCAGTCTCTGCAGTAGCTTCCAGCTGCAGCAGTCAGTTCAGTTTCTGTTCAGTCTGACTGAGGGAGGTTTTTGTACGACGCTTTTTCACTGTGTGAACACACTCTGACTGTTGATAAGATGAGCACTCTGACAGTAGTAAACTGCTGCATCTTCAGTCTGGACTCCACTGATGGTCAGTGTGAAGTCAGAGTTTGATCCACTGCCTGTAAAACGACCTGGAATCCCTGATGCTCGAGTGGTAGCAGCATAAATGAGCAGTTTAGGCGTTTCTCCATCTCTCTGTTGGTACCAGGCCAAAGCATGGTAGCTGCTCCAAGTATAGACATTCTGACTGATCCTACATGTGATGGTGGCGGAGCGTCCCAGAGCAGAGCTCACTGCTCCAGACTGAGTCACTGTGACCTGGCCTCTGGACTCTGAGGATACAGAGACAAAAACATAAAGCAGCGTCATGGTTTTGTGGGCTTCATTTCAGAGGGACGGATGTTCATAGAGGAGAGGAGTTTGATTCTCTGGACTTTACCTGTGAAGCAGCAGCAGAGGAGAGTCCAGATGAGGACGGAGATCAAAGTCATGTTTTTGATGAGGAGGATTTCTGTGTCTTCTGTTGTCATGAAGGACAGCTGTCAGTCATCCAGTGTTCAACTCTCAGGACTATAAACTCTCCCAGAGCACTGGAGCATGGTGCTGCTGATGCAAAGTGGCTCTCTATGGAAATGCTCTGACTGACTCCAACAGGGACTTGGATTCCTCTCATGATGCTGTTTATCAATGGATCAATCACTTTATCAGAGTATTGATTAGGAATGTGTCAGTGCTCATTTGTATAAGGCTTTGGTTTCAGTTTGATGGACACATTTTCTTCTAGAATATTTAGTGAATTCCCCTAATTCACTACCACAGAGATCAACATCACTGTGGGACACATTTAAACAAAATTATTATGTCTCATTAGTCATAATCTACAATAAACATGTGTTTATGATCTTTATTACATTTGTCATTCTTTATTGGAGAGTTGTTCTTTTGAAATATCTTATTTCATTGTTTTAATGTAACATGAATTAATACAGCTTATTTCACAAAAAAGATTAAATATATATTCATAGTTTATGTTTTAGACACTTTAACCAGCTATTAGATAAACTGGGTAAACTGGGAATGTGTTTGCTGAGTTTGTTTGTGTCAAAGTCAGAGAGCCGTGTCTCTCTACAGTGAGAGGTTTTTGTACGGCGGCTCAATGAGTTTGTATCACTGTGGTACACGTTCGGTGGAGGAACCAGACTGGATGTTGGAAGTAAGTCAAATCTTTATATTTTTTATCATTTCAGGACATATTTGTCTTTTTATATATATTTCAGGAAGAATTCTTGATTTTTCATATTAATGTATATCTTCTGCAGAAATACTTTACACTCAGAGACAAACATTGCATCAGGAATATAAATTCAAAACCTGATTGAAGTGAATTTAAAATATCAAGACAGAATATGACTTGATATGTATATGAATGGTAAAGTTTCATCTTGAGGGCTTGTAGGTTTAGTTCAGTGTGTCAAAGTCAGAGAGCCGTGTCTCTCTACAGTGAGAGGTTTTTGTACGGCGGCTCAATGAGTTTGTATCACTGTGGTTGACTTTGGTGGAGGAACCAGGCTGGATGTTGGAAGTAAGTTTCTGTACAAATACTAAATACAATATTGTAAAGTAATGTTTTAAATTCAGTTTTTAAATGTCTGAAGTAGACAGGTATAGTTTGTTTTAATATTAACACTTGAAGTATTCATGTTTGTACTTGTCCTCCTTCATCATGGAGGCTAACTCTTTGTTCTTTACACATTCCTGTCAAACTGAAATTCAAACAGCTTGAAGTGCAGAAAAGATAAAACTGCAAACCTTTTTGTACAAATGTTTCATTTTTAAGATTCACTTTTACTTTTCTATGTCAGAAATAAATATTTTTAAATGAATTAAGATAAAATTTTATAGTCAAATTGAACGTAGTGAAGATAAAGATGAGTAAACGTTCAAAATATCTTCATAGTGTTATATATTGTTCTAAAGTTACAGTTTGGTAATGATGATTGAAATTCATATGAAGAACATTTGATTGTAGTCAGTTCATTTTCTGTGTTTGTTCATGTTTCCACTAAATACTTTAAAGTAATGTATAGTTCAGGTTTTGGATGATTTTGATGATACAGTTTTTGATATTTTATTTCCAGTGTAGTTTGATATATTTCAGCTCATTCTGTATGATGATTCTCTCTGTGCTGATATGCATGAGAGGCTTCTTAAAGGGAAGTGAAACAATGTGTGAGTGAGTGACTGGTGGAGCAGAAAAACCATCTGACAGAAACTCCTTAAAGGAGAAAATCAACTCTCACACAGTAAAGGTGTCCAAGTGTCTGCTGCTTGATTGACAGCTGTGTGGTCCCTGTCCTCTAAGCTGATTGGTGTCTCCTAGGTGATGTCCGTCCCACCCTGACGGTGCTGCCCCCCTCCAGTAAGGAGCTGCAGCAGGGGAAGGCCACGCTCATGTGTCTGGCCAACAAGGGCTTCCCCTCAGACTGGAGTCTGTCCTGGAAGGTGGACGGCAGCAGCAGCAGCAGCAGCAGCAGCTGGGAGCAGAGCAGGAGCCCCGGGGTGCTGAAGGACGGCCACTACAGCTGGAGCAGCACCCTGAGGCTCTCTGCAGACCACTGGAGGAAGGTGGGCTCTGTGACCTGTGAGGCCACCCAGGGCTCCCAGACTCCGCTCTCAGAGACACTGAGGAGAGACAAGTGTTCCCAGTTCTGACCTGACTCACTGGGACTACTACTACTGGTTTTACTCTGCTACTGCTCTCTGCCTTTTTCTTTTTCTCATGACATATTTGAACAATAATGTGTTTTCAGCTCAATAATATTCCTATGAGACAGTACAACTTCACCAAAGGACTCGACATGAAAAGTCAGCAGAATTAACACATTGTCATCTTTCACTGCTTGCTGTAATATTGATGTTCCATTAAAGAATAAAAATATATTCATCAGATCAAATTTGTCAGTTTATCATTAAATACTGTATATTCATATTTGTATATATTGCTGTGTAAAACAGTGGATCCTTTTATTCCAAACACACTGAGTTGTTTCAGGGTCAGATAGCTGGATTTTAACATATCAGGTGATGATGTTAGAAATATTGCTCAGTGTCCTACTCTGTACTGAACTGTGCTGTATCATTTTTTTGATGATTTAATCAACAGGAGGAGATTCAAATTGTTTTGAGATTCATAAACTTTGTTAACAATAAAATTCAATTTATAAAAACAGTTCATTTTATTCTCTGTAGAGCAGAAATTATTTCATAATTTTCTGCTATGAGTTTGACAAAAGTAACTTTGTTTTCTTCAAAGCAAATGTGGAAAATATAAATATAAATGTTGTCATTCCTAAACATTTGTAAGTTTTTTTATCGAATCACTGAGTATATGTTTTTATGTTACAGCGACAATAATGTTTAAGAGCTAAAATTATGCAGCTGTCATGCTGACTTTCAATAACAAAAAATATTTAACATAAATATGAAAAATATATTCTTGCTGAAAGTGTTATTGCGGTGTTAGTTAAACAATTTATGTTAATCCATCATGTAGTGTTTTAATGTCTGTGCAGCTGTTGATTCAGATCAGTTCCTCTCCAGCTGAGGGAGGTTTTTGTACGACGTTGTATCACTGTGTGAACACATCCTGACTGCTGATTTCATGAAAACTCTGACAGTAGTAAACTGCTGCATCTTCAGTCTGGACTCCACTGATGGTCAGAGTGAAGTCAGAGTTTGATCCACTGCCTGTAAAACGACCTGGAATCCCTGATGCTCGAGTGCTAGCAGCATAAATGAGCAGTTTAGGAGTTTCTCCATCTCTCTGTTGGTACCAGGCTAACTCATCCCCACCATAAACCGTCTGCCCCCGTTGCCAAGTGCTTGCTCATGGTGGTACTGTTGGGTCTCTGTAAATGTTGTAATGTTATAAGGAGTTCGGTCTAGACCTTCTCTATTTGAGAGTGTCCTGAGATAACTTCTGTTATGAATTGGCGCTATACAAATTGAATTGATTAATCATATATTTGCATATCAGGTGGTTGCTGGGTTTAGAGTATCTATATCTTTGCTATATGGGAAATGTTCCTGCATAATACTTTGCTAAGTAGTATATTCCCTCATGGCTTGAGGTGCTCATAATGAATAGCCACATGGCAAAACCCACACATAGCAGTCCACTAGATAGTATATTCCGCTGGGGCCAAGGTGCTTCAGGGGAATGGCCACACCGTGGCTGTGTAAGGTCCACACATAGAAGATTGTTTCACTGATGGCGTCAGGCTCCTTTCTGTGCTGTTTTGGGGGGTTAAGGTATTTGCGCATCACTCCCCAATATCTCTATGTGAACATATCCGCGGGGAGTGATGAGGTCGGAGCATAGACTCCAAAATCTAAATATGCTATACTGCTTAATAAACATTCCAAACGTGAGTTGGCTGAATGAAATAAATAAAAAAACGGGTGAAAAATGTGTATACAGCCTGTTTCATCAGGTTTCCCCATACTGGACACTTTTTTGTGTGTTTGTGAGAAAGATGTGAAACAACATTGTTCACACACATTAAAAAAATACTTTTTCCATCAGAGTCAGTTTTTAAAGAACTTACTGAGCTCAAGGAGACACTCAGACGTGTGGGGGAACGTATTTTAATTTGGGTGGGGCTGACCTGGACACGTGTATGTGCACAACAACTTATGTGGATGTTCATATTAATGTTTAGAAAAAACCACTGACATATGTTGGGAACTCTTTCTAGTTAAATCTAGACAGCTAAATCTCTCTCAAACAACTCTCTCTCTCTCTCTCTCTCTCTCTCTCTCTCTCTCTCCTTGCTGCATTTTTGAGTCTTCAGATAGTTCAAAACAATACATCAACTTGAGTCTGACCTGTGGTCTCTCTCTCCCCCTGTTCTGTCTATATTGAGCTGTCTAATCAATGAAAAAGGCATAAAGACCCAAATATTATGTTAAAAGAGAAATTATGGTAGGTTTTATGTCTCTGAAAAAATATAAAAAGGTCACAACATATAACATCACATACATTTCTGCTCAAGCTCCATTCAGTCGCTGTTCTGGAGCTTTTGATCAAATCCCATGGTCTTCCTCAGCAGATTGAGTTCACCCAGTTGTCATGGAATATTTGAACTTTGATGCCAACATTGACAAGAAGTCCTGAAAATGCTCAGAGGAATGGGAATTTGAACAACTACAATTCAATGACAACTGGGAGACTCCATCTGCTGAAGAAGATCATGTGATATGATTGAAAGCTCCACAACAGTTAGTGGATGGATGTTGTACAGAGATTGTCTGGGTATTTCCAACGTCAACCAATAACTTTCAGTCTCAATGTCTTTGTGTGGTATTTTAGTTGCATATAAAAGAAAATGTGTTTTTTTATGTTGATATATTTATATCACGTAGGTCACTTTTGTCTTGTTATGTCTCCAGTTAATCTTTATTTTATTTATCTATTTTAATACTTTATTAACTTTGAGGAATGTACAGGTTTTGTTTGCTCCATCTTTGATTATTAAGGTTTCTGATGTTAGTCTTTATACTCTTTGTTAATTGGATATAGTTGAAATAGCTGTGATCCAGAATAAAGCAGAGGTCAAAGGTCATGACCAAGACAGCTCTCATTAACTCTCTCATTGGCTTCTCTTGATAATTTTACAAACCAGATACATTTGTCACTGAACTTGTTTTAATAAATGTTGACTGGTTGTGTGTGTGTGTGTGTGTGTGTGTGTGTTTGTGTGTGTGTGTGTGTGTGTGTGTGTGTGTGTGTGTGTCCTCAGTGAAGTGTATCAGTCTCTGCAGTAGCTTCCAGCTGCAGCAGTCAGTTCAGTTTCTGTTCAGTCTGACTGAGGGAGGTTTTTGTATGACGCTTTTTCACTGTGTGAACACATTCTGACTGTTGATAACATGAAAACTCTGACAGTAGTAAACTGCTGCATCTTCAGTCTGGACTCCACTGATGGTCAGAGTGAAGTCAGAGTTTGATCCACTGCCTGTAAAACGACCTGGAATCCCTGATGGTTGATATCTTGCCCCATATATAAGCATTTTAGGAGTTCCTCCATCTTTCTTTTGGTACCAGGCTAGAATGTGGTGGCCATTATAAGAAACATCCTGACTGGTCTTACATGTGATGGTGACGGAGCCTCCTAGAGCAGAGCTCACTGCTCCAGACTGAGTCACTGTGACCTGGCCTCTGGACTCTGAGGATACAGAGACAAAAACATAAAGCAGCGTCATGGTTTTGTGGGCTTCATTTCAGAGGGACGGATGTTCATAGAGGAGAGGAGTTTGATTCTCTGGACTTTACCTGTGAAGCAGCAGCAGAGGAGAGTCCAGATGAGGACGGAGATCAAAGTCATGTTTTTGATGAGGAGGATTTCTGTGTCTTCTGTTGTCATGAAGGACAGCTGTCAGTCATCCAGTGTTCAACTCTCAGGACTATAAACTCTCCCAGAGCACTGGAGCATGGTGCTGCTGATGCAAAGTGGCTCTCTATGGAAATGCTCTGACTGACTCCAACAGGGACTTGGATTCCTCTAATGATGCTGTTTATCAATGGATCAATCACTTTATCAGAGTATTGATTAGGAATCTGTCAGTGCTCATTTGTATGAGGCTTTGCTTTCAGTTTGATGGACACATTTTCTTCCAGAATATTTAATGAATTCTCCCTAATTCACTACCACACAGATCAACATCACTGTGGGACACATTTAAAAATTTATATTATCTTTTCTTTATTTTATATTAATCATAACCTACAATAAACATATGTTTATGATCATTATTTACATTTGTCATTATTTATTGGAGAGTTGTTCTTTTGAAATATCTTATTTCATTGTTTTAATGTAACATTAATTAATAAAGATTATTTCACAAAAAAAATTAAATACATATTCATAGTTTATGTTTTAGACACTTTAACCAGTTATTAGATAAACTAGGTAAACTGGGAATGTGTTTTCTGAGTTTGTTTGTGTCAAAGTCAGAGAGCCGTGTCTCTCTACAGTGAGAGGTTTTTGTACGGCGGCTCAATGAGTTTGTATCACTGTGGTACACGTTCGGTGGAGGAACCAGACTGGAAGTTAACTGTAAGTACATTTAACTCCTTTAACAACAAATAATTTGTATGTATTCTGTTTAAATCTCATAGCTGTCGACCTTAAAGGAATATTTTGCCTAATATTTGAAATCTAATGTGTTTCTAACAATTCTTGAAGGCTGCAGAGTGTCATTAACCAGACTACAATCCACTCCAATTGATAATGTTTTGCATTTAAGCTTAATTTTCTACATTCTTATCAGTTAATTGTAGAAAACGACTCAGCATTACTCTGTAAGAAGAGAAAGTCTTTAAGTTTACGTTTTACTGTTTACGATCAAGATCTCTGCCAATAGTTTTGGTTCAGTGTTTAATGTGTATGGGTAATACTCAATCTTACTCTCAGAGTAACAATATTAAAGCCATTCCACATATTTTATTATGAGAATGTCATGAGTTTGAAGTAGTTCAGTAGTTAACTAAATTAATTTGAATGTTTCTGACTTTTCAATGATGATTCCTGCTTACATGAAGAAAACAAACACAAATCATCATTTATCAGGTTTTAGCTTGACACAAGAAATATTTGAGATGGTTAAAACAATAACAGTGTCACAATCTTCAATTCAATTCAATTTTCAATTCAATTTTATTTGTATAGCGCCAATTCATAACAGAAGTTATCTCAGGACACTTTTCAAATAGAGCAGGTCTAGACCGAACTCTTTAACATTAATTACAGAGACCCAACAGTACCACCATGAGCAAGCACTTGGCGACAAGGGCAAGGAAAAACTGCCTGTTAAAAGGCAAAAAAATCTTCATCTCATGTTTAACAAGGAATCTTTGACTTTTTACTTTATTATTTAAAAACTATACACTGGACTAAAAGTGAGCCAGTTTTAACTTTTTATCTTTAGTACTGAAACCTGTCTGTTGTCATGGTTCAGCAGTGGCGCCTGTCTGTTGCCATGGTTACTGAGCTCAGAGAGGGAAGTGAAACCTTTATGACCAGTTTCATTCAGTCTGAAGAAGACCATCAGAACTAGAAGCCTCCTCTGCTGCAACCAACAGGATGGAGTTCAGTTTACCTCATATAAACTTTATTAATCTCTCTCTCTGCAGTGGGTCGAGTCGTCCCCACCCTGACGGTGCTGCCCCCCTCCAGTGAGGAGCTGCAGCAGGGGAAGGCCACGCTCATGTGTCTGGCCAACAAGGGCTTCCCCTCAGACTGGAGTCTGTCCTGGAAGGTGGACGGCAGCAGCAGCAGCAGCAGCAGCTGGGAGCAGAGCAGGAGCCCCGGGGTGCTGAAGGACGGCCACTACAGCTGGAGCAGCACCCTGAGGCTCTCTGCAGACCACTGGAGGAAGGTGGGCTCTGTGACCTGTGAGGCCACCCAGGGCTCCCAGACTCCGCTCTCAGAGACACTGAGGAGAGACCAGTGTTCCCAGTTCTGACCTGACTCACTGGGACTCTGATACTGGCTTTACTCTGCTACTGCTCTCTGCCTTTTTCTTTTTCTCATTATATATTTGAACAATAATGTGTTTTCAGCTCAATAATATTCCTATGAGACAGTACAACTTCACCAAAGGACTCGACATGAAAAGTCAGCAGAATTAACACATTGTCATCTTTCACTGCTTGCTGTAATACTGATGTTCCATTAAAGAATAAAAATATATTCATCAGATCAAATTTGTCCGTTTATCATTAAATACTGTATATTAATATTTGTATATATTGCTGTGTAAAACAGTGGATCCTATTATTCCAAACACACTGAGTTGTCTCAGGGTCAGATAGTTGGATTATAACATATCAGGTGATGATGTAAGAAATATTTGTCCTACTCTGTACTGAACTGTGCTGTATCACATCATTTTTAAAATATTTAATCAACAAGAAGAGACTCAAATTGTTTGTGATTCATAAACGGTGTTCATAATAATATATTATTTATGAAACCAATTCATTTTGTTCTGTTGAGAGCTCAAATTATTTCAACAAAAATTACTTTTTTAAAAGCAAATGTAAAAAATATAGATTTTGTCATTCCCAAACATTTGTAATTTTTTTTATAGATTCACTGAGTATATGTTTTTATGTTACTCTAAAATTATGCAGCTGTCATTCTGATTTTCAGCAATCTTCCTTTTTTCATCAGGAATGGCACGAAAATTACTCCTAAAAAATATATTGAAGAAAAATATGAAAAATATTTTCTTGTTGAAAGTTAAAATGTATGTCAATCCATCATGTAGTGTTTTAATGTCTGTGCAGCTGTTGATTGAGATCAGCTCCTCTCCAGCGGAGGGAGGTTTTTGTACGACGCTTTTTCACTGTGTGAACAACCACTGACTGTTGATATAGTGATAACTCTGACAGTAGTAAACTGCTGCATCTTCAGTCTGGACTCCACTGATGGTCAGAGTGTAATCACTACCAGATCTGCTCCCACTGAAACGATCTGAAACTCCAGACTGACGGGTTGAACCACAGGTAATGAGGAGTTTAGGAGATTCTCCAGGTTTCTGAAGGTACCAGTTGAAGCAGTAACTAGTGCTTGGACTAACGTTACATCTGATAGAGACAGTCTGTCCTGGAACAACAGACTGAGCTTTAGGAGACTGAGTCAGGATGATTTCTCCTGATGAATCTGGAAAACATGAAAAAGAGGAGAAGGGTTATTGAGACAAATCCAGTTTGGAGAAAGATGATCAACATCCAAACAGAAGAGTATCATTTCTTTAACATGGAGAATAGATGGAAGAAGGTAAATGCTGCTTGTTTCAGTGTTTCTCCATCATAGCAGAACATCATTGTGGTGAACCTGGTTGCATCCTGAAGCAAAGTTTTCAGAAGAGAGTCTCACCCTGAACAAGGAGCCCCAGGGTGGCCAGCAGTAGAGTCAGTGACATCATCATTGTGCTGCCGGCGTGTCAGTGGCTCTGAAAGGCCTGGACAGCCACTGATCAACACTGGCCTCTTAACGGCTGGGAGCAGAGAGGAAGGACACATATGCAAACACACAGAGTCAGTGAACTGTAGCTGTCCTCAACATATCATGGTGTTTCCCCCTCAGTCGCTGAGAGCATTGTACTACATATTTTACATATTTACCTGTAGAGGATATTGAAACATCTTGTAGTTACAGCTGTGAGCAGTAATGTGAGTATTCTGAAGGTCTTTATGTTGCACTTTAAGGATTTCTGGTAGATGTTGACTGAAAAGTTCACCCTAAATACCTGTAATATAAATTAGTTTCTCTTTGTCCTGTGGTATCTCTCCATGAACATATGATTTAATATTCAGGATTTCCTGAGATTTCTGCCTCCACCCCAATAAAATGCAGGTGGAAGAAATTTAATTTGCAGAGCTTTCAGCAAAGACAAAGCATTTTAAAACTTGAGCAGCAACATGTTTTTTTCTCAAGAACTCAATGGAGGTGAATAGATGATCCAAAGAACACAGTAATACAGGAACAATTTAACTCTGTGAACAGTTTTAATAGAGAGTATTTCTTCAGAGCAGTGTGTGAACATTTCATTCACCTCCTTTGTATGAGGTTGAGAAATATCAGTGACGTTTCAAAACCTGGATAAATAAATCATACTGCTGCCTTTTATATTAAGGAAACTAATGAACAACCTTGATTTTCCCCCAATAATTGTCAGTTTTTTGTGTCTTTATTATGCTGTTACCTGTGGTGGATTTAGTCGGTCATGGGCCCCTAGGCTATGCTTTGTGGGGGCCTCTCCGTGGCTTTTGTGTGATGTGTAGCAATAGTTTGGGTGATTTTCGATTGTTTCTGTGATAATCTATCATAAACAACATAAATGATATATTAAATTATCTTATTCTGATAAATGATGAAATATACATCTTATGTCTGCTAAACAATTTACTTTTTCTGTCCCTGCCCCATGAGCTGTTGTTACATCTGTAATAACCACATTATGACCTGTTGAGTCCTGTTACTGAAACATATTACCCCACTGTTACCATCTTAATGTGTATGTGTGTGTGTGTGTGTGTGTGTGTGTGTGTGTGTGTGTGTGTGTGTGTGTGTCCTCAGTGAAGTGTATCAGTCTCTGCAGTAGCTTCCAGCTGCAGCAGTCAGTTCAGTTTCTGTTCAGTCTGACTGAGGGAGGTTTTTGTACGACGCTTTTTCACTGTGTGAACAACCACGGACCATTGATGTAATGAGCACTCTGACAGTAGTAAACTGCAGCATCTTCAGTCTGGACTCCACTGATGGTCAGAGTGAAGTCAGAGTTTGATCCACTGCCTGTAAAACGACCTGGAATCCCTGATGCGCGATATGTTGCCCTATTAATAAGCAGTTTAATGGCTTCTCCATTTCTTT